AATTAGATGGTCATTCTGAAACGGTTTTTTCAATTTGTTACTCTCCTGATGGTACAACATTAGCATCTGGTAGTGGGGATAAATCTATCCGTTTATGGGATGTTAAGACAGGATAATAAAAAGTCAAATTAGATGGTCATTCAAGTGCAGTTATATCAATTTGTTACTCTCCTGATGGTACTACATTAGCATCTGGTAGTTATTGTGATTGGTCTATCCGTTTATGGGATGTTAAGACAGGATAATAAATTGCCAAATTAGATGGTCATTCAGATAGGGTTAATTCAATTTGTTACTCTCCTGATGGTACTACATTAGCATCTGGTAGTAATGATAACTCTATCCGTTTATGGGATGTTAAGACAGGAGAAGAGATCATCTCATCAAATAATCAGTATTAATACATTTTAGCATAATTTTAAACTCCAATTTTTAATAACAACAACATGATTGACAATAATGGTATTAATTTATTATTATTTAGTTTCATCGATTATCACTATTCTTCTAATATCACAATAGCTTATATTTTAATCTTAAGGAGCTTTAATTTTGAGAGGAGAATTTAGTGATCAATCGGGCATCAACTTGAAGGCATTATTTAAACAAAGTGGAAGTATAATTTTAGAGAACGAGAAGGAATTATAAAAACGATGAAAGTTGATTAATATTAATCATATAATATATTATCATTTTTAAGAATGAACTTTTGAGAAATAAAACAAATACATTGAAGAAATGAAGAAATAGACACTTTATGATGCAAATATAATAAAAAGCCAACTTAGATGATCATTCAAGTGCAGTTTAAGCATTTGTTACTCTCCTGATGGAAATACATTAGTATCTGGTAGTGCATATAACTCTACCTGTTTATGGGATGTTAAGACAGGATAATAAAAAGCCTAATTGGATGGTCATTTTGGAGCAGTTTATTCAATTTGTTACTCTCCTAATGGAAATACATTAGCTTCTAGTTGTTTTGATAACTCTATCTGTCTCTGAAATGTAAAAGGAAATACTCCAATCATATAAGGGATACAAAGAGCTGTTTACCTAGTTTAAAATACCTTTTCAGAATAGCTCCTTATTGCAAAATGGTCTTTATTAATTATTATATAGTTAATCCTTATTGTACAATACTTGTAATATATTAGAATCCTTGGTTAGAAGCATCAGGAACACTTATCTTATAAGGACAATTCATGAATTATTAAGGGATAGATTTAAAACCATTGTTTAATCCAAAGAAAGTTGCTTTTTAGAAGTCTTAAAACAAAAGTTAATTTGATTCTTCATTACAAACATTACAATTACAATTTTAATAACTTATGTTTTTTGTTTCAATTCTTGATCATCAAATTCTTAAGATTGATAAGCACATGTTTTTCAACATTATTGGTAAATATTGAGATATTAAGAAACAACGGTTACAAATTAATATTTATAATATAGAATACACTATTAAATTTATAATCTAAACAGAGTAAACAGGTTAAGTCTTTAAAATGATAATTAATAGTTTAATATAATTTATAT